GGTCTCTTCCGGGTCCCTCTCGCGGCGTTCCCCCGTCTGGCGGCGGCGTTCCCCGGTCTGGCGGCGGTGTTCCCCGGTCTGGTGGCGGCGTTCCCTGGTCTGCCGGCGGCGTTCCCCCATCTGGTGGCGGCGTGCATTCCCCCGTCTGGCGGCGGCGTGCGTTCCCCCATCTGGCAGCGGCGTTCCCCGGTCTGGCGGCAGTGTTCCCCGGTCTGGTGGTGGCGTTCCCCCGGCTGGCGGCCTCGCCCTCGCGCTGCGTCGCCCTCGCGCTGCGTCACAATCTTGTGTTGCAGAAATTCAACCTTCTGTACAGCAAATCCAAACAATGGATCAATTCTACAAGCTCGTTTGGTGAATAAAGCAACACTTTACTTTCCACGGGGGTGGGGGGAGGGGGGGATAGGGAGGTAGAGCACTTAAAGAGACTTAGTGGTCACAAGTTTCAGGCTCCCTGAAATAAAATTGTTCTTTCTGGACACACAGCCCCGGGTCTTCAGGTATTGCATCGCTTTCCTCGCCCCAGTCCTTGACCCCGCCGCCACCTCTGAACTTTGGGGCTGGCAAAGGTCGGTGCTGCGCAGACGCAGTGGACAGAGGGAGTCCTGCACCTTTGACCCACGGCCTCCGTCTTCAAGTATCGCATTGCCTCCCCTGCCCCAGTCTGCGACCCCACTGCCAGCTCTGAATTTTGGATCTGGCAAAGGTTGGTGCTGCGAAAACGCAGTGGACAGAGGGAGTGGATTTGAACTGGGACCCAACCCTGCACCTTTGACTCACGGCCCCCATCTTCAGGTATCACATCGCTTCCCCCCACCCCAGGCCACGACCCCGGCACCAGCTCTGAACTTTGGGGCTGGCAAAGGTCAGTGCCGCTCAGACGCAGTGGACTAAGGGAGTGGATTTGAACTGGGACCCAACCCTGCACCTTTGACCCATGGCCCCCATCTTCAGGTATTGCATCGCTTCCCCCGCCCCAGTCTGCGACCCCCACCGCCAGCTCTGAACTTTGGGGCTGGCAAAGGTTGGTGCTGCGCAGACGCAGTGGACAGAGGGAGTCCTACACCTTTGACCCATGCCCCCTGTCTTCAGGTATTGCATCACTTCCCCCGCCCCAGTCTGCGACCCCGCTGCCAGCTCTGAACTTTGGGGCTGGCAAAGGTCGGTGCTGGGCAGATGCAGTGGACAGAGGCAGTGGATTTGAAATGGGACCCACCCCTGCACCTTTGACCCACGGCCCCCGTCTTCAGGTATCGCATCGCTTCCCCCGCCCCAGTTGGCGACTCTGCCGCCAGCTCTGAACTTTGGGGCTGGCAAATGTTGGTGCCACTCAGACGCAGTGGACAGAGGGAGTCCTGCACCTTTGACCCACGGCCCCCGTCTTCAGGTATCACATTGCTTCCCCTGCCCCAGTTCACGATCCCGCTACCAGCTCTGAACTTTGGGGCTGGCAAAGGTTGGTGCCGCACAGACGCAGTGGACAGAGGAAGTTCTGCACCTTTGACCCATGGCCCCCATCTTCAGGTATCACATCGCTTCCCCTGCCCCAGTTCACGATCCCGCTACCAGCTCTGAACTTTGGGGCTGGCAAAGGTTGGTGCCACGCAGACGCAGTGGACAGAGGGAGTCCTGCACCTTTGGCCAATGGCCCCCGTCTTCAGGTATCGCATGCTTCCCCCCCCCCAGTCCACGAACCCACGACCAGCTCTGAACTTTGGGGTTGGCAAAAGGTCAGTGCCGTGCAGACGCAGTGGACAGAGGGAGTCCTGCACCTTTGACCCATGGCCCCCATCTTCAGGTATCACATCGCTTCCCCCGCTCCAGTCCGCGACCCCACCGCCAGTTCGGAACTTTGGGGCTGGCAAAGGTTGGTGCTGTGCAGATGCAGTGGACAGAGTCCTGCACCTTTGACCCATGGCCCCCGTCTTCAGGTATCACATCGCTTCCCCCACCCCAGTCTGCTACCCCGCCACCAGCTCTGAACTTTGGGGCCCTCTGGTAGGCCCTCGGTCCAGGACTTAAAGAAAACAAAGACAAAACCAAAATCAAAACAAAGCATAAAGCACACAAAAGAACAAAGACACATAGACCAAATTTATAGCATTTTTCAACCTCACTTGAAAAAGTTGTCCAATATTAAAGATTTAGTTTCTTTAGACTACAAACTGCTGTTTGGCCCTACCACATTGGTCCCACCAACTTAAGCAAAAGGGAGACACTGGACATCTTGATAGAGAAGTAGTAACACCAAACCAAGAACCAACTATCACCTTAGTTTTCAAAAACTCTTCCACTTTAATGTCTCGAAAGAAGCAGAGTACCTCACTCAGCACGTAAGCCCAAAACAAGATATCTCCCCCCACCAAATGACACAGTAGCAATGGATTTCATGAAGCCAGAAAGTCTGATGGAACTTTCTGATGCAGAATGTTAAAAAAAGATGATTGAATGTTTTCAATGGATGAAAAACAAACTTGAAGAATTACAGGACACTACAGTAAAAAATCAGGAGGAATTTAAAAAAAAAAAATCCAAAACAACCCAGAGAAAACAAATGAGGTATTAGAGGCACTGGAAAAACAAGAAATCATAATTCAAAATATGAAATCTAAGGTTTCTGATGCTGTCAACATGATGGAGGGACATGCAAATAGAGGTGAAGACATGGAAAACAGAATTAGTG